ATTACTGAGAAGGACCCAAAAATATGTGAATTATAAAGTTGGTCAATAAATAATAAAAATTATATCGTTATGTAGAGTTTAACTGTCTGATTCTAACAGGTCAATTGGATTTCAATTCAGGGAAAGTTGGACCAAAAAGTGTTCCCCGACTTGGACCAAATTAGTCCCAATCAGGGACTTGCGTCTGGAAATCCTAGCAATCGCCGCTCCCTCCACCGAGACGCTGGAACAGGGAAACGGATGTCACCAAACCTGTGTCTTCTTCCTCTCCACTCCACTATATAAACCTCTCTAAACTTCACCATTTTTCACCATTCTTCTTCCAAGAGATAGCTGAGAGTGTAGAGAGTGAAGTAGTGCTGTCAAGAGAGCTTCCCCTCGCCAGAGATAGCCACAATCCTCGCCGGATGTTTCGCCGGAAAATCTTCAAAACCTTCATTTACCTTCGAGGTAAGCCCGTAGATATATCTAAAGATTAGAATGTTCATATAGGTTGTTTTTACGTTCATGAATTTGATGTTAAAAATATGTTTCAATGGTTCTAAAATGATCTATGAACATTAGAGAATATTTCTATATAGTTTAATTGATGTTTGGTAACTAAAATTGATATTTCCGAAAATGGACCGAAGGTAGAAGACGATGAACAGTAACAGGCGGACCGATCCAGGAAGCTGGATCGATCACCGCAGTAGAAGAACTCTACTGGGTGGATCGATCCTCCAAGCTGGATCGATCACCCGACCTGTCTTCTCCGAAAATGCTTCTGAAAATGTTATTTTTGATACCAATTAATTATGAACAATATAATTATGATTTTGTACAATAAAAATGATATTTTTGACACATAAAACCTTATGTGATGCATGACGGTAAGTTCGGGTGTTAACACCCGAGACTAGGCCGCTAATTGTTATTAAATGTTATGTTGAATGATCATTATGATGAATTATTATTGTGGCCAATTATGAATGATAAACCTACTGAAATAATTACTGATGATTAAATCATGATTAATAATGAATATAATGGTGATCATGAAAAAGGTATATACTATTAAGGATATCTAGAAGAACTCTAAGATATATACCCACTTGTATATTGATGATGATTATTAAGGATATGTAGAACAACTCTAAGATATACCTCCTTGACCAATTCATAATTCGGGGTTAAAACATACGTACAGGATCCAGAACGGATATCACCCACCGAGAAATCATTATTTGGTTGGTAAGTAATCCACATGACTCATAGGGTGGATTATCGATTCTTGTGTTCTGCATTAAACTATTTATAGTTTAAGGGCCTGGTTAGAATTACTGCCTTAGACTAGGAATGTAACACCCTAATCCGTCCAGGTCTGCAGCCCCTTTTGGACTAAAGTATTAACTTGGTAATCGTAAAAATTTAAAAGTTTTCAAACACACTTTATTAATCCCAATAATTTTGCATAACATATACAATACAGAGTATTCAACAGTATTGCGGAAGCGAATTTATTTTTGACATATCATAAATCATTTGAACCATGTCACATCCATCCCGACAATCTCGCTCCATCTGTTTCCAGGATCACAATGTTCTTTTTGTTGTACCTGCGTGTAGCAAATAAAACACACTACACGCTCAGCGGTAAAGCTGAGTAAGCATATCTAATGCGTCGAACATCCATATAAACTGAATTTAAATTCATAATCAAATCATTTGATATCATGCACACAATGTTCATTTCAGACATTCATAGTTTTGGTATTGTTCAGTTCATATCAACACATTTTATTCAATTCAGATACTATTTCAATAGTACTCTTAAATTACTCTTAATCTAAGGCCAGATCATAACAACGCTCTTAGCTATTCTTAGTCTAAGGCCAGATCATAATAATGCTCTTAGCTATTCTTAGTCTAAGGCCAAATCATAATTTCCATAATCACATTCTAAAAAGGCAATTATTAATCAGACACTTAAACTATCATTAGTTTGAGGCAATTGATTTTGGACACTTAACTCTAGTTAGTTAAGGCACTCAGACACTTAAACTATCATTAGTTTAAGGCAAATGATTTCGGACACTTAACTGTAGTCAGTTAAGGCAACAACAATATAGCGATTGGTCAACATTGGATTGGGCATTCCCAACGAGTAATCCTCTAGTTTGGTCTACAAATCCCGTTTATGCATTTATATCGAATTCATCAACTATTCATGTTTTCATAAGTTCATTCTAAGATCTATTCTAGAGGTCTTCTAGATAGTCTTAACATTAATTAGCTAATGGGTATATCTTAAAGTTTTTCTAGATATCCTTAACAATACACATCATTTTCTTGTTTATCAATATATTCATTTGAATTATGTTTCAATAATTCATAATCATAATTTAATTCAAGATAGTCAAACAAACATATCTATTCATAATTTCATCTTTACGGTTCATTCGTTAGAATAAAATCATGATCGTTATGTAGTCATAATCACTCGGGTCGTCCATTTGATAATCATAATCAATATTATTATCTATGATAATCCATTATCTATTATAATAATCATTTATTCAAAATATTATCAAGTTTGATCATAATAGTCATAGTAACATTTATTAACAAATAGCGGCCAAGCGTCGAGTGTTAACACCCGTCATGCATCAAATAAGATCCTTTTAGCTGTCAAAACTTCATTTATATTCCAACAAATCATCTTTACATTAATCATAATTCATTAATATCAAAAATAAGATTCCATAGTTCAAAAATCATGTCTTCTAAACAATAATTGATTAATATATGATAGGAAATTGCATTATTAGCTATTAGCTTCATTTTCTTCAATAGTGTAGGGAAACAGTCTACTGTCACTTCTGATAATCTACTGTCTGATGTTCAGAATGGGCTAATAATCGATTATCACACTCTGATAATCGATTATCAAACTTTAGAGAGGGCTGACAGTCGATTGTCACAACTGTTGCTCAGCTTTGTTCCAAAAATCTGCAAAACGATGAATAATCGATTTTCAAGTTGATAATAGATTATGCATCGTCTTCTACCTCGAGCCAACTTGCGGAAATGTCACATTTACTTACCAAACTTCAATTAAAGTATATAAAAGTGTTCTCCAAGGTTCATAGATCATTTTTGTTGGACATGAGTTCAAACCCCTTTACTATTTCTTCTAGATTATTTTTTTTTGTTTTGATGAATGACAAATAGGATGATTAAATTCAAGCTAATCGAAAATTTATTTTCGTATCGAGAAAAGCAAAGAGGCGTATCAAGATAAAATAAAGGCTTACCCCTACGCAGAAATTTTTGAAGTGAAGTGAAGACTCCGAAGATTTCTTTTAATTAAGTCTAGGAATCTTTGTAAGGATGACAATATTTTCTGCACAAACAAATTATTTTTGAGGGATAAAAATTATTATTTTCTGAGTCAGTTGAAAAATTACTTTTCCTCTGTCTAAAAATATTTTACTGAGTCAGTTTCAAAATAAGTGTGTCAAACATTTCTTAAAAATATTTTTAAGATTACACAATTCTTTTTGGTAAGAAAAATATACTTTAAATATTTTTCGTGTACATCGTTTGACACACAAAATAATTTTTGGACTCTTTTTCTCTCCTCTACTCAAATTCATTGAATAGGAGATTTTATCTTTGAGGAGCGTCCGTTGATATTCCCGTTGTTCCCAAACAGCGAGTTAGAAGCCAAAGGCTTCCAATCGCACTTGGCTTGGGCCCTTTATGTTTGTGCATTATTTCCACTTTAATCGATTAAATTTTCTAAATTAATCGATTAGATCCAGTTCCGGATTTCTCAAGCCTTCAGTATTAATCGATTTTTATTATTCATTTAATCAATTAGTTCTCACAGCGCAGTCTAATCGATTTTTCCATCAAACTTAATCGATTAAGATTGCATTCTTCGCTGAAGACTTTTTCCAATTAATCGATTTTTTCTTCACCTTAATCGATTAGTTCAGACAGCGCCGTCTAATCGATTACTTTCTCCACTTTAATCGATTAATTTTGTCTGGTGTTTATTCTCAGCCTGCTCCAACGGTTCTATTTTCTTCGGCCTATTTAATCCTTCATTCTCCTTCATTTTAAGACACAACTCTTGCACTCCAATATCTTCGTTGAGCTATATTCATTTCTTCCTTCCATCTTCCTCATCAAATATATTATTTTGAGAGTTAGAAATATTTTATTGAGTGCTAAAGATTTTGTCATCCATAGAGCTTTAATTCTTCAACACTACTTTGCTCAAATGTGTGAGCTTTCATTCTTGTGTTGTTAAACTCAATCTCATTCGAGTGCTGTTCTAAAGACTTGTGTGACTCAAGTCTTGTTGTTGTAAGAAAGTGAGGCTTGTGTGATTCAAGTTCTCAAGTTGTACCTGTTTTTCAAGCACCCGTTGAAGCTTGAAGATTAGTAGGACTTTCGAGAGAGTCTCTCGGAGGACTGGACTAGCCACGAGGTGGTGAACCAGTATAAATCTCGGTGTTCTTCTTTCCCTTACTCATTCCTGTGATTTTATTATTTCACACACGCGAAAAACGCACATTCTTGAAAACAACTCTATTCACCCCCACCTCTAGAGTTGCACATTTGTCTAACAATTGGTATCAAAGCAGGAAGTTCTTCGAATACGTTATTTTTCAGGAACTAAAAGATCAAATGGCATCAAGGATGTTCAACGCAGGAGTGACGGAGGGACAATCAACCACGAGGCCACCTTTGTTCGATTGAAAAAAGTACTCATATTGGAAGGAGAGGATGAGAATCTTTATCCAATCCAACGACTACAAGCTGTGGTTGATTGTGAAGAATGGCTGCAGAGTCCCGATGAAGAAAGTCGGTGAAGTCAACGTTCCCAAAACCGAAGAGGAGTTCACCGACGAAGACTGCAGAAAGATGGAGCTCAACCGCAAAGGCAATAAACATGATTTATTGCGGTGTTAACGCGGATGACTACCGCAAAATCTCGCGGTGTGAAACCGCAAAACAAATGTGGGAAAAATTGGAGGTCACCTACGAAGGAACCGCGCAGGTTCGGGAGGCCAAAATCGACCATCTCACTCACGAGTATGAACTCTTTTCAATGAAGGAAAATGAGAAGATTGAGGAAATGTTTGAGAGATTCTCTAACATCATCAATCCTCTCAATCTTCTCGGGAAGACATACACCGACCGAGAGATCGTGAGAAAGGTGCTGCGAAGCCTATCCCCCAAATGGCGTTCAAAGGTGGATGCAATCGAAGAAGGTCGTGACTTGCAAACAATGACCTATGATGCTCTTCGAGGTAATCTTATTACCTACGAAACCACCCAACTCTTAAAGGTGGTTGAAGAAAGGAACAAGAGGTCTATTGCTCTATCCGCAACAACATCAACCCACAACAATGTTGATGATGAAGATGATGACAACGACGACACCGACCTCGGACTCTTTGTCTGAAAATTCAAGAAGATGATGCTCAAGAAGGGAGCCAAGAAGAACACTCCACCCAAATGCTATGGGTGTGGTGAAATTGGACACATCAAACCAATGTGCCCAAAGCTCAAGAACGAGAAGGACAAGAGGGCACCGAAGAAGCAACGTGCCTACAATTCTTGGGAGAACGACGGCTCCGGGAGTGAAGACTCGGAAACGGAGGAAGTGGCCAACTTATGTCTCATGGCCATTGAAGATGGTGATACATCAAAAGAGGTAAGTGATCAAGAACCTTCTCCCAATGATCCTTTAACTCTTAATGATGTTGTTTGCATTGTAGAAGATTTGGTAGGAATGTTCAAAAAGGATTCCAAAGAAAACAATGAAATAAAGCAAAAAATCCTGATTTTTTAGAATGAAATCAAAGAACTCAAAAATATAAATGATAAAATTAAACAAGAAATTATCTCTTTTGGAAAAAGGCCACAAGAACCTTCAACTACTTCTTCTTCTACATGCTCAAGTTGTACATCACTAAAAGCTAAGGGTGCTAGTTTAGAGAGCAAATTGGGAACGTTCAATAATGCTTCAAACACCTTAGATAAAATACTTAAGCAAAAAGTTAGTAATGGTGAAGGACTTGGATATAAGAAAAACCAACCTAGAAAAACAACATTTGTTAAAGCTAGGGGGAATAAAAATGCTAGGATAAATAATCAAACTAGAAGAGCACATCCTAGCAAACCTAGAACTCATTACACTCAACCATATAGGATGAATAATCCA